GGGTAGAGTAAATGGTAGAGTACCATTTGGGAACTTGGTCGTCTGAGATGTTCCGTACAGTAGGAAGAGTTCCCCACACCGGTGGAATGAGAAACCCCGGGCTGTTTTCTTTGGGAAGAGAGAGAGACAGTAGAATGAATGGACAGAGACACGGTAGGACAGGCGCAGAGGGCGTCTACAGGAATCGTGTTCTGTCGGCGTGGTTTCTCTCTCTTCCCCGCGTGTGAAGAGAAAACATTAATGCAAAAAGGCAATTCGAAAGAAAAACAATAAAACGTAACATATAGCGACGAGTTGTAGCGAGGAGCTCGTTGATGATATGAGAATGAATTGTAGGGAGATCACGAGGTGTTGCGAGCCCAACCGGGCTCACTCCCAACTATACCTCAACATCTTACCTCTGCGACTAAGCTGACTAAAGAAGAAAGTACAAGTCCCACAAGCGGCACTCAGCAACAACATCGACTTCGGTNTAACATATAGCGACGAGTTGTAGCGAGGAGCTCGTTGATGATATGAGAATGAATTGTAGGGAGATCACGAGGTGTTGCGAGCCCAACCGGGCTCACTCCCAACTATACCTCAACATCTCACCTCTGCGACTAAGCTGACTAAAGAAGAAAGTACAAGTCCCACAAGCGGCACTCAGCAACAACATCGACTTCGGTCACTGTCTCAACAGACTTCGGTCTACACAGACTTCGGTATGCACATCACACAGACTTCTGTCTGGAACTGCACAAAGGCTTAACCGCCTGCAGACGATCCTTGGGTACAGGGCACCTCGACACGACACATTTCTACATGGATGGCACGCAAACTGATGTCTGAAGAATCAACGAGGCCCCAACATAACAAGACCTTCATCGTCGCGAGAGATCAACGGAACGGCAAGAACTGCAGACCGCCGACACGACAAGCAGCAGAGGAGACAAGATAGTACGGCCAGTGGCAGCAGGAGTAATTAGCCTGCTGTGCTGAACAAGTCCAACATTGTGTTCTACCAAGACGAAGACCTGAAGCAGCGGGCGCCGGACGGGCATTTGAGTGCGCACTCACCCCGGGACCGGTAAGTCGTAGGCCAGCGGGAGCGTGATTTTTCACCCCGTATACGACGGACGTCAGGAAAAGTCCTGCCGAAAGTATCGACTCTTTTGTAGTGGCAACCCTCTCCCGGACAAAATTTAAATTGTTGCGCTGAGATAAGGCCACGCGGCAGGGAGGTACGCCACCAAACCGAGTCTAAAGGTCGTAAGCTATGCTCTCGGGTGTGTGACAATCCCTACGTGCAGTAAAACGGCGGGGGTGGAGCGAGCGCGATTCCCAACTCGTGTAATCGAGAACTGCTGTCGGTGAAATTTGAGTCCTGATCCGGCTAAATTCACTCGACGTCTCGGTGGAATTATTGGTGACGCTGATCCCGTCACAACCACGTGAGAACCCCACCGGTAGAAGAAAGTGTCCAATCAGCGCGGGTCTACGTCGTGACAGAGTAGGCAGCGCAGCTGCACAAGACCACCCTTCACACGGTTGTGACACGGTAGCTGGTTCAACAAAATTTCCTTTATCGAGAGCAGCAGGAGTCACTGCATTTACAACAGGAAGAAGGAGCTGCATCATCAGCAGCAGGAGGAAATTCAGCCAAGACACGAGATACGTCTAGTCTACACATCAAACATCAACGTCTCACCGAGTGGGTTGCCGGCATACATACGCATCTCAGGAAGTAGGCCGTGAGCCGAAGAACTCCGCAGTCTTACTACGCACTAGTCTGACACGGAAAGCTGCAGCTGGAATTTTCCCCGAACTCTGAAGTTAAGCTGGTGGTTTGGTCAGCGCTTCACAATAGAGTTGCGCTGGAAAGAAGGGACGGTACGACATTTGCCCGAACCTTGAAGAGAGCTGGTAACTTGGGCAGCACTTGACAATAAGGTTGCGCTGGAAGACAAGAACTGCTGTTCAAGAGTAAAATAATGTCGAAATCATGGAACCACGAAGGGGTTACGTGGGTGAGAACAGATGATCTGCAACAAAGCCTTGGAGAGAGCGCCCGCTCGTGACAAGCCTCCCCAACCCTAAAGAGGAAGCGTGCAGCGCGAATAACAGTAGACTATCATGCAGCTGAGCTTGACTCAGCTGGCCGCGGCCGCGTCGGCTCCTGCGGGGAAGGCCGTTAAAGAGTTGGTGTGCTTCGACACGAGCTCGGCCATTGGGGCCCTCCCGACTCTGGCACTCGCGCGAGTCTGCACCAGCGAGGGCACTTCTCTGGAACGGAAGGACGAGATTGCTCTGTTCACCACGATGCTGACATTGGTGTTGGCGCTGGGGCAGGGTACACAGGAGACGATGGAGGATGTCCTGCGCGGCGCGGAGACCCAGGAGTACGGATCGACAGGCGCGATAGCGGCCAGGAAAGCTTTCGGAGCGCGGGCATTCATGGGAGAGGTGGTCGAGGTGCTGCGGGATTTCGTCAAAGAGACGGACACGTACGTAGTCCTGCCGGCTATGCCATCGTCGGGCAAAGCCCCCGCTCGCGAGTCCGGGGCGGCTCCGCCGGCCCCAGCTCCGGAGGCGACGGCCGCTCCCGCAGCGGCGGCGGCTGTCCCAGTAGCGGCGGCCGTTCCGGCGGCGGCGGCCCCAGCGGCAGCGGCAGCGGCAGCAGCCTCGGCATCCGCGGCACCCGCCCCCGCTGCGGCGCCCGCAACGGCGGGAGCGTCAAGCTCGGCGATCGCAACAGCCCAGCAGCAGCAGGCAGCCAACTACCAGGTCATGATGTCGGCGGACGAAGCGTACATGAAAGTGGTGCAAGCGGAATCAGGCAACGCGGAGGTGAGGGTTACGGTCCCCGTTGTTGACTGTCTCGCGGTGTGTTCTCGTCAACAACAGCAAAAAAACAATAATAATAATTTTCGCCAAATGTTCGTCGCCCGTTCTAATTCCAAGACGACCCTGATCCCGTCGGGGATCATCGACTTGTTGAAGTAATACGTACTTCCGCGCATTGTTTGAGTAGTTCTCCAATATGTCCGATCCTTCGCGTCAAAATTCCTCGGACGTTTTCGACGATCGTCATGCCTTTACCACCCCGGTCCCCGCCGAAATTGCAACGGGAAGGTCTCATGTGCATTAATATTATTGTCAGGTTCTTTGGATATCCCACGCGGGCCGGTGATACGACGTAGGAAAGACGGTCGTAATTTCAAAGGAAATAACTGTCGGTGGTCTGGCAGTTGGGACTGCTGTACAGGACGTACGATACAAGTTGTCACGGGCCGCGTATACGTGACATGGGATTTCTCTGCAAGTATTGACCGTCTACGCTTATCGCCTCGTGATGGGGCGTACCACTCATCGAGTGTTAAACGTGTGCGTGCTTCATTCTGGACATACTTTCAATGGATCGTGGCACCTCACGAAAATCACATGTCGGCGTACCTTTCCTCTATCTACCTTCGAAATAATTTCTTCGATATTGCGCCTTTCACATGCTGCATACCGAGCACCATAGGCCTCAACGCTGCGATATAGGTCCACGAACAGTCAGAACAAGTGCAGGTTTTTGCTGCCCCTCGAAACGACTGATCGTCGGGAGCTTTGTAGACGTTCTTAACCTTCCGCGCGTACGCGGATAGGGAGATGCTTGTTCTCGAGCCATACGTTCCCCTTTGTTGACGATATTGCGATACGACTACAGGGGTTGTTGTCACTACGACTCGCTCGCGAGAGGTTTGGGGGGCCATTTCGCTGGCAGTCCTCGATGCCATGTGCCTCGGGATGAGTGTTTCGAGCCGACTCGTTTCCGTCTCCGATACGATGAGCTTGCGATTGTTTTTGACGCCGCTTCGTGGGACGCCCCCGATGCGATGTGATTCGTGATGCGTGCTTTCGAGCCATCCGTCTGTTTCGATTTACGACGCCCTCGATACAACATACGATGCGCTTTCGGGATGCGTGCTTTCGAGCCATCCGTCTGTTTCGATTTACGACGTCCTCGATAAAACCCTGTCCCGTCCTCGATACGAGGGGCGGGCGATGGCTTGGGACGCCATTTCGTACGCCGTCCTCGATACGATGTGTTCGGGGTGCGTGCTTTCGAGCCATCCGTTCGTTTTCAAATTACGATGTAGTAGGGAAACGTTTGGCCCCACGTCGTTAGCTGTCCTAAATGCGATCGCGGCTGACGACACGGCGGGGGCCGCCCTCGGTGCAATTTCGTTTTCCACACAGGTGCGTAGCGCGTTCCTCAAGTTCTTCGGGTTGCGAGGAATGCCGGTCGGGTGTCTTCGTGGCATGACTTGCGAGGCGCCCTCGTAGAGGCCCACACCATCATGGTAGCCGTGGGGGAATCGGCCGGCGACATAAAGATAATCTCGGATACGATAGCCAGGGCGGCCGCCTGGTAATAGCGCTTGGGCCGACGCACGGCGCGAGGGCGGCGACCGATGTGTTGGACATGTTTTCGGGTCTGCTACCAAATGCTCACGGGGTCTCCAACGATCTGTATACAGCGGACTATGTGCGTATACGCAAGAAGTCGGCTCCGGTCGCGGGCATGAACGCCGCCATGGGGACGGCGCTCGGCCTCCCCGTCGTACCCGCGCCATTCCCGACGTTCGGACCAAGGGGGGGAGCTTTCGGCAACCAACCTTCCCCGCTTCCCCTGCAGATGGTGCTGCAGCCGGGGGTCCAGCCGCAGGCCCCGAGGAAATCTCGTCGGCAGGCACGATCGCAAGGCGCGTCACATGGGGTGGCCGGACACTATTCCCAGGGGCCGCCCGGTTGGGGCGGGGGCGGCCGGGGGAAAGCAGCGGGGGGCGCAGGGATGGGAGTACCGTCCCCCGGAGGGTCCGCTAGCCACCAACAAATGCTAGCCGACGTGCGTAACCAACGCACCTGCAGCAGAGGCAACTGGCGAACCCGGGGGTGCCCGGGCAGGGCGAGACGTGCCACAAGTGCCGGGCCGCCAACCGTGATCCGAACCACCCTCACCTCACATGTGCCTTTTGGATATGCGGCAATTGCAAGGAAGCAGGGCATCGCAGGGCGGCCTGTCAGAACCCGACCGTGCCGTGAACGAGCCGTAGCATACGCAACAGAAGGAGTTTGGGGGGGGACACGGTAGCAAATTATGAACGGGGGGGGGGATACTAGAGCGTTGCGCGCGGTTGGATTTGTTTCGCGGGTTCGAGATAGCGTTTCGTGTTCCGACAGGACGATGCGTGCGATACCCGTCAGACGACCATCTCCCACTCGTGGTTCGCATCATTTGTCAATGCATGTCAGTGTAACATTGGCGCAACATGAGCGCTGACCTACGCAGTGCGCTCCTTCGATCGCACGGGATCGAGAATAACACGAGAATACCAGGTGATATCCCCGCGGTGCGTTGTTCGATCGACTGTCGGCGGGAAATCAATCCATTCTACGACAGTGTAATCCTCTATCCTCATACATAACCTCATGATAATAAAAACGAACAGCATCGATTCCCCGCGGGGGGCCTGGATCGCCCGCGAGCGCGAATAACAAGAGAGTAGCATACAACGACCTCTGCCTGGCGCAGTTTAATCCTCCATCTTTGTAGACCGTGATTCACATTAGGGAGCAGAAATGCCCATGTATCACTGCAAAAATAATCAGCCCGGAGCGTTGTTGTGTCTGCTGTCCTTGCGTCCGCCATGCATCTCGGTGGGTCCGTCTGGTCACAGTACATCGTAGCTACGTTTGCTTTTCCTACCACGGATCCAATTTAACCGTTGTATCAACGAATCTCCTACCTTCCCGGTAAGCGATACCCTTTATCATAGAGTGAAACTACAGACGAATACCGGCGAGCCTGTTCAACGTCTCACTACCTAGGTATCGGCTGATGATTGGCTGAAGAGCCTCGCGCAACGATATGCGCAAGCAAGAATTACGTTCCCCGACGTCCCCGACCTGTCCGACGAACATTGCGAATGGGCGGGGCCACGTTTGACGCCGAGAGTAGCCCGCGTGCCTACGATGGCAGAAGTAGAGCGACCACCGAACGTGGACGGACACACCCGTCTGCCGTGGGACGCTCCGGTGAGAGACGCTGGCGAGAACGGGGAACACCTCGTACCGGGGGGGATTAACCACAACCGCGAATTTTGGGACAAGGTTATCCTACGAGACCATCCGCAGCGCGATCAACTCATGTCATACATTCGGGACGGTGTCAGTGTCTTCGAATTCCTCCACGATGAGTACCACGAACCATATTGCCCAGCAGCGTTTCCGGGCGTCGTATTCCCTAACCACATACCAGATGAACATGCGGAATTCGTGCGGCGAGAGGTGCAAGCGCTGGAAAAGCGGGGATTTTTAGTTCAGTGGGAGGACGTCCGAGGACCGGGGGGGCCGGATAGACCGCGGTTGATCCTGTCGATTTCGGTGGAGCCAACCAAACCCCGTATGATTATAAACGGTATCCCCCTCAATACCTGCTGCAAACACGTACCGTTTACGATGGACACGGTCTCACGGGTGGCACACGTCGCGGAAGAAGGGGTGTTCATGGGAAGCTTAGACGACCGCGCGGGTTTCCATAATCTCTGCTTGCAACCCGAGAGCTGGCCGCTATTCGGCGTACACTACGATGGAGTGGATTACGTCTGCACCACCCTTCCGNACGGCATCCTAGTATCGTACCGATGCGGATATTTTCTGTCCATCAATAGATGCGATCTCAACCCCTCACAACAACAGCGGTACCTCGGAGTTATCTGCGATTCCGATACCGCATCCTTCCGCATCCCGGAGGACAAATTGCTCAAACTCCATCAGCTCATCGACCAAGCGCTTGCGAACGACTCCGTGCCCGTGCGCAC